TTCGGGCTGCAGACGAGTAGTTGTGAATCCGGATCCTGCCCATGGCAAGTTATCTTTTCAAGCACTTTTCTTTCATCATATTTAGATTACGATTCGGTGTAATACTTCCAATATATCTTCCTTGGAATTATTGTCTCTTAGATCTCAATATTATTGCGTAAACACACACACACACACGTATACATACATATATATATATATATATATATATATATATATATATATATATATATATATATATATATATATATATATATATATATATATATATATATAGACAGCATTAGACCACTCCACCGCGCGCCATGCATGCACGTCTCGGTTTAATCACGGGCGAAAATATGGCCCCGTTCTGTACCCACTTGGGATACGGATTGAAAAAAAAAAAAACAGGGCGCACACCTGGCGTTACTTGCGTTGCGTGGCAAGAGATGCAAAGGGGCCACTCCACGTGCCACAGTTTAGAAGATAAACGAACAGGCTTCAGCGTCAGCGCGATTTAAGAACAGACCAAACAGACACGCATAATACAGATAGCGCTCGTCTGTGTTCCGTGTGTCTCCTTGCTCTTCGTCCAAATCACGCTGAAGCCTATCCGAGCATGTACCAACTCGCCCGAGTCAAAGTGATATCAAAAGATAAAACCCACCCACCTCCGCGAAGTGAATCATGACGAGTGGGCGAAGCTCTGGGTATCGTAACGTTACCCGAGCGTTGCTCCATATGATGTAAATTCCGTCACATTTGTGAAGTCCCAACATTTAAGCTCACTTTTGTGGTGATAAACTGATCGGCACCATTCTCGTGATGTTATGTTCACCGGGATCAGCGATCGCTCATCTTGTAGTTATCCTCGATATACGCTGAAGTCTATTGTAAGGACTTGTTTTTTCTTGCTTCTCACATATTTTTGACTATGGTTCTATACCGTGACCACAGTAGAAGACAAGTCTGCCTTCCACCCGAAAACAAAATCTAAGAGCGTCGGATTCTGCACTGCCGACACTGTCAGCGCGTTGCTCAAACACAAAGTCGTAACAACTGTAACACTTATTTGTTAACGCTTGCCCTTTGTATACTTGTACGCCCTTTTTAAGCGTCTTTGTTTGTGCTTAAAGGAACAACACAGGCGGTTGATGTATAAATAAAGGAACAACACAAGCAGCGAATGTATTTCATGTATAGAGAAAATTAAGTTGCGTTGTTTAGCCAGCCTCCTGTAGCCCGGCTTTTTCAACAAGTGTGAACAAAAGATATAATCATACTTGCCACCACGAGGCAATGTTTTGGGAATGACAAGAACATCTGTTATTGATATGTGGGGTTTAACGTCCCAAAACCACCATATGATTATGAGATACGCAGTAGTGGAGGGCTGGAAATTTCAACCACCTGGGGTTCTTTAACGTGCACCCAAATTTGAGCACACGGGCCTACAACATTTCCGCCTCCATTGGAAATGCAGCTGCCGCAGCCGGGATTCGATTCCACGACCTGTGGGTCAGCAGCCGAGTACCTTAGCCACTAGACCACCACTGCGGGGCACGCGGCCGGGATTCGATCCTTCGACCTACGGAAATGCAGTTGAGCACACTACATCGTGGCTAGTATGCCTGTTCTGGTGGTCTATCTCTCGGGATTTTACGCTAGGCACCGTCAGCACTAGGTGCATTCACGGGATCACGTATTGGCAATGAGCATGCTAACACTTTCCAAGGGGGCACTTGCCCCCATCAAGCTTAGACTTTCTTGCCCTTTCACCAAGCTACACCAACGCTAGCTACGCCCCTCACTCAACAGTGATGCAAGAAGCGTTGGCACCCCCCCCCCCCCAAAAAAAAAATCTTGCCGATGCCCCCGACTGGATGTTTGGCTTTAGAAGCAAGCATGCTGTCATATGCATGTAGTTGGTTATCGCAACAAGCGCAGGTCACTACAATCTCCGACTGTCGCCTTCATTAATAAAGTTCAATGTTTTAAGGGAGTCCCGAGACAATTTTGAAACACGCATCCTAAAAGTGACTTGGTCGGTCTGCCTTGCTGCGTTCACCGCACACCAGAGCCAGACAATATGGTATTGTATAAAATATTTCACTTTGATTTTAAAGTTTTCATCACTGCGCATAAGCATCATCCCGAGGCGTCGACACAGTTCCACTGAGTTTGCGTCCTGCTTGAAGCCCGGTTCACGGGAATCTCCATCGGTGTCACAGGAGAATGATTCACTCGCCGTTCTTTACGTGCACCCCGAGAACGTGATGCACCCGCCGCTCGTGCGTTGAGAATTGCCGTCTCTCCGTGACGTCACACTTCGATGACACATCCCTGAGAAGTTGCCTCCTTGATATGGAAACCGAATGTGTTCTTTAACGTAGGTTTTGTACATTTTAGGCTTCTTGACACTAGTGCTCTCATTTGGAACGACAATGCGAAAATGCTTCAAATTTGTGTCAGTACTCTTTTCAAAAATATTTATGAACTACAGATTTTTCAGAGCCTTAAGTAAGCATAAGTTCGTCAAATTTTGGCGACACCACTGTAGCCTGAAGTAGATAATCGCTAGCAATAGCGGTTCTGATGCAGAACACAAAATGTGACATCGTAAATAAATTACATTTTGCAGAATTCTCATTTTCAGGCCGTGAGATGTCAGCTGTCAGAAGAAGCCTTGGTAAGTATGAAGAGGAAATTAAAATATGAAATACTGAACAATATATTTCCATGGCTTGCAGGAAGTCTTCAAAGAAAACAGCAAGCTGGTACCTGCATTGGTAACGCGCACATGCTGGCACATAGAGCGACCTTATTAGGCACACGCACGTTGCCATTATCGTGATATTAGTGGTTGAGGCATTTCGAAGTCACATGGATTTTGTGTTAAGGATGGCGCCCATGTTTTGCTTGATCTACTGTCGTCAATCATTCGCCGATTAAGCACGTTGTCAAGAAAGAGAGAAGAGGTACGCTGGGGGGTTAAGTAGACGACAGCACCCTGCACTGAAGTGGTTGAATTAAAAAAAAGCGAAGAGAAAATGAAAGAGTACTGAAAGCAAGGAAAAGAAAACACACTAGCACATTTGATCATTCCAATCAGAGTCATTCAGACATTCGCAGAAACCATAGTAGTGCTTGTACGGCGAGTGCAACGGCTGTGCTGCGCTCTTGTGCGTGAGCAACTTGTGTTACTGACAGACTTCAGCAAATGACTTGATTCACATTCATAGTACACGAATGCTCTTGATATCCTTGATTGATATGCGAGTTTTAACGTCACAAAACTACCATATGATTATGAGAGACGCCGTAGTGGAGGGCTCCGGAAATTCCCACCACCTGGGGTTCTTTAACATGCACCCAAATTTGAGCACACGGGCCTACAGCATTTCCGCCTCCATTCGATAACGCAGCCGCTGCAGCCGGGATTCGATCCCGTGACCTGCGGATCAGCAGCCGAGCGCCTTAGCCACTAGATCACTGCGGCGGGGCACGGAGGCTCTTCCACAGTCGTGGATATATTGGGACCGTGGTACTGCGCGTCACCGTTTAGAAAGAGAAGGAAATATTCTATGAAAGGTTCAGTGAAGGGGGCAAGCATGAAAAAAAAAAAAACCTTCCTCCTTGATGTCTCTTAGAATCGACCTGAAGACTCCGAGATTTTCTTTAACGAATCTTTTTTTTTTTACATTCATAAGAAAAACCACATATATGGTCCAATTGTTTTCCGCCTTGACTTAGTTCGAAATGCACAGTAAAGTAGCTTTTGCTTGGTGAGAAATTTATGCTACTCACAACTCTTCAGGCATATATATATATATATATATATATATATATATATATATATATATATATATATATATATATATATATATATATATATATATATATATTGTCTGCAAAATTTGGTTGTCCTAGGACGTCGCCTGTCCGTTCAGCCTGTGCAGTGCAGCGAATCAGCGAATGCAGCCCAAACGTACAAACCGTTCTCCAATATGAATGAAGCACCCATGACCTTTGACACGTTCGTGTGTTTCAGTTGCGAAGCTATGCGTTTCGTTAAATTTACCGTTTCTATCCCGAACGATAATATGAACGAACACGGGCACCGGATGATCGTGATGCTCATGCACAATAGGTTTGTAGTACACAGCACCTCGGTGGGGAAGCTAGCCGTATATCCATCGGGTAAAATGATACGCAATGCACCGTTGAAGCTACTCGTTTTGCAGTGCTCGGCAACGAAACGAGATAAGGAGCCTATGTGACGGAACATGCTTTATCTCGTTGTGGGCTGGGTGATCACGTACTGGGCTCAAATGTGGACCAAGGCTGTACTTAATCGCAGTGCTTCAGCTGCATACTATAGATATACGGGCGTCCACACCAGACTCTGCAGTTGCAAAAAAAAAAAAAAAAAAAGAGAGAGAGATAGAAGAAAGTCACAGCATATACACAGAGTGAAAGATGATCAGTGGAACCAAGCGTCCGTCAGTGCGTCCGCGTTTCTGTTCATTCGTCCATCCGTCCGTTCGTACGTTTGTCCGTCCGTGCGTGAGTCGAACATACAAACAGACAGATGACGGATGGACAAGGCTAGCGGATGGTTCACGGTTTGCCGATACGACACTCCGAAGCTTCGCCCCACTCATCATGATTCACTTCATGGATGTGTTATGAGGTGGTTACTGCATACATGCATACATACAGGTGACGACCAATCCATGCCTTAACAAGCTTCACCCCTAAAAGACGCCGGACACCGTACGGCTAAGGGGCCTTTCTTACTTCATAATTACGAGCGTTATTGAGGAGCTTTCCGGTGGAGAAGGCTGACACATGCTCGAAAAAGGAAGAAACGACGGCACCAACGCTACGGTCGCTACTTTATTTCAGTCCATGTTTATCGGTGCGCAATTTCCAAAAAAAGATTAAAACATACCAACAAGTCCAAAGGTTCGTTTTCGGCTTTCAATTACGAGATAATAGGCAGTGCTACCATAGTATACTGTTAAACTGAACAAAATCACAGCACTTTATTCAGGATTGCACACGCATTTTCGTGCGTGAAAGCTCTTCACAACACACTATTCAGACACCGGTCTCCGGTACGCAATGTTATTTAACATATATTTTTTATTATAGGAATGCTTGCTTGAAAATGCAAGAGACTGAAGATTCCTGAGCGAAGGGCTGATCAATAAAGCAAGTTTAAATATGTGAGCTCACAATGATGGCGTCTCGCTTATTCGCGCACAATATCACTATAGACGTTAAAAAACATCAACATGCCCCAGAGATAACAATATGTGCAACACATTCTAAAGCCACGGCAGCCATGTCGGGCTACGATATATTTATTTGCGATAAAATTATATGGGCACGTTCATAACAAATTTATGCTCATTCGGCTACAATTTTTTTTCCTCGCCGTCACTTAGGTCTTTCGTTGTGTACACCCGCAGTGATGTACCCTCCCTGGCGCCGGATTTTCACAGATTATGCCCCCACTGCCACCAAATTCTCACAAGAACATCATCATGAAACAAATAAACCGCGATAGTCAGAAGAAAATATTATAGATGCCGCCGACTAACTTGCAACAGCTCGCCTACCGCAGGTACTTATAGAATGCAGTTGGAGTCAGAAACGTAGTTTCACCATAGAAGCGTGCTGCTTGTAGGCGAAATGCCTCGCGCAACGCTGAAACTTGGGTGATAAAATTCTACGCACTGAAGCTGCACAGTGGGCTGAGGGGCTGCGTAGAAAGTGTGTGCGGGAGGGGAAGGCCTGCTGAATTCTGTGACCAATGAGAACAGCATTAAAAGGGCAGCTTAAGAAATCACCAGGTCTTAACGGGACACGCAGCACAGTCAGAGCAAAATCTGCAATAGCGGCTTTTCTGGAGCCCATCGCAGACTCTCTCGATACAAGTCCACATGCGAAGTACCCTCTACTGCATAAATCAACGTATACCTTCAGTGAAATAAGGAGGCATCGTGCCGCTATACGTCATTCTGCAGAGAAGCGTGGTGCCCGATACTCATCTGTAAGGCATTATGTGAACTCTGTTCATGCTGCATGTGGCTGATGTCGAATAAATATGGCTGGGCCTTTTGTAATGGGTTGGAAGCAAACGACGACATGCTCACTTTTTGCGCAATTTGCATCATGTGGCACCTGGTTATTTTGCGCCTTTGCGACTATATATATCAACACAATCATTTGTAGGACGTTTCCTTGCGAAATTGTTTCAAACACCAGCGGAACTTTGTTGTATAATACGCCACTGCCACGCAGCAGGCTCGTGTTTCAATTTCATTCATTCCCAGACCATTTTCTGTTTTACTTTTCTCATTCCGCGTGCTGGTGGTCACATACAAAGGCGGTGCGTGGGACAACTACGCCTCTGCAATTGTGATACGATAACCGCTTGCGCCGTAGAAGTACAAAGCTTACGGAACACCATGGACATAATATAGTGACATCATCACTCGTAGAAGTCACAACTGCACGCCGCTAACTATACCCGGTGTTCACAACACGCACATCACAACAATGCTACAGTAAACAACTGTTTCAGCAACCCATCTGCTTACCTGCATTGCTGTAAGATTAGTTATTTGGTAGAAAAGTGTCAGCCTACCTTGCGATTATTTACCGTCTATCTTGGCAGAGATGCCTTGTTTCTTGTTATTGTCTGCAATGCGCAGCTAGGGTGTAGCCTGCAGTTACCTACAATGAGCTAGACTTTGCTTGTTCGTGCTATTACCGCCACCATTTCTGAAGTGTGGGATTGGGCGAGTTCACCCTCAATTATTAAACTTCCCAGCGCATTTTTTTTTAGCTGAGCCGTTTGTAGCATTTTATTTTTGTTCTTGTCCTATCCATGTACCAACAGTTAGGTGCTCTTCATCAGCAGGTACGTGAACACTGAAGACGCAATATTCAGTCTGCAATTTTATTGAAAATTTTTCATTGTTATTCACAGAGGCTTGTAGGCATATAGACAGTGTATACAAACAGCATGTTTGTTCAATATATTTGCAAAAAAAAAATAATTACTGAACATTTTCCTTCGCGGTGTCCAATACTGCTTTCTTTGGCGTCTTTCTGCGGCAAGACAAGCGGCGTAGCCAGAAATTTGTTTCAGGAGCAGGCGCGAGGCAAGCTAGTGTAATCGAGTGTAATTTCGTGCTCTGTATCACATCAAAGAAGAAAAAATAAATTTCGGTAGAGGCATGTGTGCGGTGTGTCACTCTTTCGGCGCCCTCGCCGCTGGCCACGTCGTAAAAGCGCTATTACTTACGTAAAAAGCGCACAGACTATAGAGGAAAGAGGTCTGTCTGAAAAGCTGCGTTTTTAATGAAATATTTACAAAGACGACGCAAGACTCCTGCGCATAGTAAGAAACACGATGCCTGCCACACCAACCGATGGCACGGATTGCAACAGCGGCGATCTTTCATTCATGCTCACGAGCAAAAGAAACACGCATCTACAGCTGGGAGAGCACCTCAACAGCTTGTTGTCGCGACGCCTGAGAAGAAACGTCACTCAAGACGTCACACCACAACGGTACAATTTCAGTGAAATGCAATTAGTATCCCGATTTCACCAGTGTTACTGCAGGGCCGTGTCACGTGGGGACCTGGCAACGATGCCACCTACAGTGCAGATCGAGAACTCGCCAACCGAGTCGCATGGTGGCTCGCACTGCGATCGGAGTGGGATCGCATAGCCAGCTATCAGGAGGTAACTCAGCTCTACGTGTTAGCCAGGGCAGTGTACAAGCCAACACACAAATCACTTTAGAGGTTCCAAGAATGAAATGAGAGGCAACTCCAGGCCAATGCGCATACCTTAACCCCGTATCCTGTCACCATTACAACTACCTGCACCAATATCCAAGACACGCAAGCAATGCTTGGAAAGAGCGAATTCCACGTACTGTGGTCATTCCCAGCAGTGGCCAATAACAATCAGGGAATGAATAATACTGTGCTGTGTGGCTCTTATCCTGACCAACCGGCCTAGGTCATCAAGAGAGAAGAATATCCCACCCGGGAGCTCGTGGCCTGCAAGCCGCAAAGCCGCCCACCGAAATACCTTGCTCATTAAGTAAAGCTCTTTCTCACTCACTAACTTGGGGCGCCCGTAAGCTATACGTCGGACCTCTTCGCGGTTTTCACTGTTTTGCTAGTATCACTAGTATCACTAATGTAAGAAGCAGGTTTGAAAGCTATGTGACACCCTGCCAATGACGTCATAGATGGCGTTTCTGTAAGGGTAACAGGGTCACATGACACCAGGCTTTTCAGGTGCGAACGGAATCTTCCACGATAAGAACACAAATTGAGTACTGGGAACAGTGTCACAGAGGGCCTTCGCGTCACTTTCGTATAGTGTGAATGCGTTCGACTGCTCAGCTGCGACCCTACGATTTTCGCGCGTGATTTTTTCAAATAAGTGCTGATTCTTGCTGTATGAGATGACTTGAGCGGCATGGTCGGGTAGCTCATCAAAATTCAGATTCCCGTGCACGTCATGAAAGTCTGCCGGCCTACTTTTTTTTTTGGGGGGGGGGGTCAAAACGTTTCACAAACCACTATGTTCCTGTTAGCTTCGCTAACGGCACAAGCCTACGCGGAAAACAATTAAGCATATTGCTACGTTCTTGAGAATGCGAATGTTACATTGACCACGACAGGTCTTCACAGACAGGAGTGCGAAGCTTGGATGTGATATATGTCGCAGCTAAGACGGGACCGGCTCGTAATCGCTTTAAGTGAAACACACTTCATAATACGAAATGTTCCTCAGGGAGTTTGCAAGGGTTATGACTAAAGTAAAAAAAAAGGCTGCAATGGAACGGTGATCGGGACGAGTGCTTGCATCCACACAGAAAATTGAACATGTAGCGCAAGCCGCGGGGCGCATTTAAACATGGCACGAAAAACGCTTATGTGCAACTGATTTAGCCTCAACAAGGGTGTGAGTTGGCTCAACGTTTTTTTTTTTTGATGAATATCATAATCTCGGTGTCGCTGTTAGAAATTGTCCTTCGTGGGCAGCGAAGTAATAAAATGCTCCCAGTTGAGCATTACATTTAGCGAACGAAAGTAAACAAATGCGGCTTACTTGGTATTTCGACATTGGCGGGGCTTCAATGCATGACTATTGGTGGGGCCTCAGTGCATGACTATTTATTTATATATTCGCCGAAAGATTGTTGCTGTTAGCTATAGCTGTTACTCCTTTAGGTGGCTTCTGACTTGCCATTTTGATAAATGCTTCAATAGATACATGTTGCCCCCTTTTTGAGACCAGCATTCACATTTTCAAAGAATCCAAGAAGAGTGAACACGTATTTTTGAAGGGATCTTTAAAGCTTTATATGTGTGGCAAGTCAGGACAAACCAAAAAGATGTATTCTTCCGTGCAGTGCAGCGTGTATTGGCTGATGGTCGGTCATTGGCCACGTAACAATGAAAGATGGTGTACTAAAAGGATACACTTTTGCAAGCGATCGGCTTGGGAAATGAGTTCAGCCCTAAAATTCATGCTCAGTGACGTATATAAAGATCTTTGCAAGCGCGCTGCCGCTGTACAGGCCGTGGTGGTAGATGCTGGTTCGCAACTCCAACTGGATGTCTTGAGGCCCCTGCAGCGACCGCACGATGGACACCATGGCTTCATTGAAACCGGTCCTTCGCAAGTAGAAGTGCTCTCTGGTCGCGACCTCGACGCCGTGGGCCCTGCGCACATAAACAAGTGCCAGAAGGTGTCAGAGATAGAGCGTTATCAGCATACTGATGAGGATTTTAGTGGCACGAGGGCCATGCTAGGAAAATAGCGCCATGTAAGGTGATGTAACGATAACAAGTATTCGTTATTTACGATGACATTCAAGGGATGTGAAGTCGTGAGCATTGGTGGTGATGGTAAGTGGCTGTTTAGGGGCCCAAAATTCCTCATACTAAAGACGGGTAAAATGTATAAGTATTGAAATTATGAAAGTTACATGACCTGTGTGCTGTGAAGATCAATGAATTGTAGTCCTGTTAACAAAACCACGGAAATAGGCAGCCAGAACGAATACCTCATCAATACTCCTGAGTCCAAGGGCCAAGAGCTAGGTGCTTTGTTTATCACCGCAACCAAGACCTCTGATTAGAAGTCATGCTACGCCTCCCCTAAGTATATTACATGAAAACTATGTCTATTGTTTAAAAAGCAGTGACTTGTATGTGAAAAACGGGTCCCTACCAATGAACATGACCAAATTCAGTAGAAATTTCTCTCGGTACGGTAATTTAAAGTGCTTCTTTCTAATATCCGCCAATTCATCGCACTGGATCACTATGTGAAGCACGGTAAGTGGTTCTCCAGATCTTTCACATCTGGGTGGGTCATCACCGGGCAGAAGGTATAATGTGTGAGTGCTATTCGCAGCCTTGTTAACGGCTCATTGCCAGTATACGACTTGATAACGTGCAGTTTATTTAGGGTGCGTCTATCTGAAGTGATCTGCCAGTGAGCTCTCAGCTTTCGTTTAAGAGATGGTTTTAAGTCAAGCACATGAATAGATGGGCATGTATTGAATGTGCTTTCCTGTGCGGATGCGACTAGCTGGTCCGTCATCTCATTGCCTCGGATCTCGCGGTGACCTGGCACTCAGCAGACTACGAAGTGCTGTTTGTGAGCGTACATTATAGATAATAAACTGCAAAGAAAGACAAGAATGGAATCCTGTGTTTTTAAGAGTTTTCAGAGCATTTACCATGTTCAGGGAATCAGTGTAAATTACTGCCTTCTGTAGCTTAAATTATTTAATGTGTTTAACGGCCGCCAGTATAGCAAAAGCTTCTGCGGTGAAGATGTTCGTATCGGGATGCATAACGCCGACCTCCGAGAGGGATGGGCTGACCGCAGCGTAGGACACCGAAGTGTTGGACTTTGAGGCATCTGTGAAGAACTCAGGACATTTGTATTTATGTTGCAGTTCCATGAAGTGCGTGGATATGTGAAATGGGCACGTGCTTCGTAACCTCTAAGAAAGACACGTCGCAATCTGTAGTACGCCACTGCCACGGCGGCAGGTATGTCCACTGACTTCCATTAAAAAGTGGGTAAGCCGCGGGAGCCGTCATGTGGTGCTCAAGTGGCACACCCATGTCCTCGGCCAGACCCTTCACGCGAAGCGAGCGAGGCTGTCGAAACGAATGACTGTCGAAACGAAGGACGAAGCCCCTCTTAGTCTAATCTTGTCGTGCGTCTTGCGAAACCGAGAGAACAAGAGATGAGGAAGAAAAGAAGGCATTATCTCCCGAACAGTATAACAGATGGCGCTGTATCATAGAAGCACATACAAACTGCAGTTGAGTGAAGATATTCTGTACTGCTACTCTCCGTTAAGCTGCTGCGCGGGCTGTGTCTGGTATGCGGAAAACCATTGCCTCTCCCAGTCTTCTGAATAGTCGCCGTACGTAGCGGATCGTTGGTGGGGCATAGACGAAGCTGAGTGGCGGGCACGTTTTAGACGCTCGCGCTGAGCTTCCTTGGCTCGCGTCTCGTCGGTGTTATCTACGCACCGTCTGCATTCTTCAACGCGATCGGAAGCATGCACGGACGGAAGTACGTTTAGCCACACTCATCATTATTCACTCCATAGATACGCTGCGATTTTTTCGTATATATGATGTGTGACATAAATGTGAGTTTAGAGTACAGAATAAGGCCTAGAAATTGACGTTCTGCCGCTACAGGTGACTGCTGGCTATTCAAGTTAATCTCGGGGTAAGAGTGGAGACCTATTTTTTTAGAACAAAAGTACACATCCTTCATTTTTTGCAGATTTTCCTTCGATTCTCTCTCGTTCCACTCTCGTTTTGTATCTTGTAAGGCTTTGGAATAATGTGTAGAGTTGTATATCTATTCGAAATGTGATCCCGAAGCGTCAGCTTGGTCTTCCATGCTTTTGACCTGGGTGTTCATTAAAGGCACTGAATAACCAGGTTGACCTTGTACTTTCCTCACACTATTCCATACTTTGGCCTCATCTCTGATTGATGATTGATATGCGATATTTACCGTCCCGACACCACCATTGGATTATGAGACACCCGTAGTGGAGGACTCCGGAAATTTTGACCACTTGGGGTTCTTTAACGTGCACCTACATCTGGGCGCACGGGTCTACAGCATTTTTGCCTCTATCAAAAATGCAGCCGCCGCAGCCGGGATTTGATCCCGCGACTTGCAGATCAGCAGCCGAGTACCTTAGCCACAAGACTACCGCGGCGGAGCTGGCCTCATATCTACAAGACTTTATGCCCGATATGAAGTTCTGACAGCTTTCTCCTCTAGCCAGGCGGCGTGTTCGGCGGTCTTGTGATTTGATTTGCTTAAAATTTATAAAATTCTCTGCTGTGGGAGAGTAGCGTAAAAGACCCCATGCTTTATTTTGTTTTCGCCAAGCCTTGCGGCACTCATCATTTCACCAGGGGACACATTTTCCTGTCGCCCTATAGTTACTTCCTGTATGCATTTAAAAGCAGCGTTAATTATAGCAGCGGTAAAATACTCAACAGCAGCGTCAATATTTAAGCCATCTCAGCCCACGAGATATGAATAATGTTATAGAACTCCTCCCAGGTGGCTCCCACAAATTTCTACCGAGAAGTCTGGGGTGGAGATTGATCTTGTTTTGTTGTTTTCAGTAATATTAGAAAGCGGTCACTTACATACGACTTTTTAATCATGTCCCAGTTACATTCAAGCAAAATCGATGGAGATATGATCAATGAATAAGATTTGCTCACGAGGCTAAAGAAACGTAGGTTCTTTTTTATTGAGTAAATGTGCTACCGTGGAAAAAAGAAAATTCTCCATGAGGCGGCCTTGCGCGTCGGTGCGAGAGTCGCGCTATACAAGCTGCTGTGAGCATTAAGATTGACGAGGACGACGTAAATCTGAGGCTATTTACCAATGAATGACTGAAATTCGTGTTTGTGTAGCTGTTAGTGTAGGGGTATGTATATTGAGCAGATTGTGAAGAGCTTGTTTCCAATAATAGCTCGAGCGGCTACTGCTTCAAGTGCCGTTCGGAGCGGAAAGCGTTGACATGAAACGTTTTTCTCAAGCATGAACGCAACACCACCAGATGATGCAAGAGCATCCTGGCGGTCTTTCCGAACTATAACATGTTGGCTGAGAAAATTAGTGTGCTAATGGTTTAGATGCGTCTCCTGAACACACAGCACCTTTGGACAATATTTGCTAAATTCGCGTATGTCGTCTAGATTGTGCATGAGTCTTGTAGCATCCCGTTGTAATATAGTGCTCATTTTGAATGAGTATGTGCGCTGTGTGTCAAGAAAGGAAAGAGATTTATTTTACAGGGCCTTTGACAGGTCCTGTAATTAGAGTTCTGTCTTTCTTGTAGTGGTCGAGGGGGTCTCGCCGCTCCTTAGACGCAGCATGCGCCGGTGGTCTGGAGGTGTCCATCGCATTTGGAGAGATCGGGCCAGATGTAGACGCAACCTCTTTAGTTTGTGTGGTACCCTGCCTTCTGCGAGGGTTCACAGGGGCTTTTGGTGGGACCGTGTTCAGGGAGGAAGGAGAACCCGGGGCTGCTCCCCCTTTGGTGGCTGGTGGCGGCGTTTGCCTCAACGCGTCAGGAGTTGTCTGAGACCTTGCCGAAAACCATAGTGGTCTTACCCCCGCGCACCACTTCGGTCTATGAAGTGTTCGCTGCAAAATGCGTGGGAAAATGCTGCTCTTCATGAAGGCTAATGTTTAGTTTGATTTTTGTTGTTGTAATTTCTTTTTCTCTCTTCCAGGCAGTGCAAGACCTGGTGATGATGATTTGTGGGGTTTAACGTCCCAAAACCACCACATGGTTATGAGAGACGCCGTAGTGAAGGGCTCCAGAAATTTCGACCACCTGGTGTTTTGAAACGTGCACCCAAATCTGAGCACACGGGCCTACAGCATTTCCGTCTCCATCGAAAATGCAGCCGCCACAGCCAGAATTCTAACTCATGACCAGCAGGTAAGTAGCCGAGTACCTTAGCCACTAGACCACCGCGGCAGGGTCGCGCAGGACCTTGAATATGCCGGCGTGTCTCCATCACAGTTGGGCCAGTGAAGATCGGGCTCGCATTCATCATCAGCAGAGTGCTCTTTACTGCCGAATTTCACGCAGGTTAGCTGCTTTCGGCATTTCATCGAGCCATGGCCTAACAGCTGGCACTTGAAGCAGCGCGGTGGGTTTTGAATATATGATATCACTGGCAGTTTGAGATAGCCTAATACTATTTCGGTGGGAAGTGTGGTGGATCCAAAGGTAAGTATATCAAAAGCGACATCTGTGCGCCAACTCTTTGAGGAGCGATCAGTTTGGCGAAGGCTAGGGGATCCAATCGAGTTGTGTAATTTGTTCTGCAGACATGCTCGCCACCCACTCTCGAACCCAACAAGGGACGCCGTGAGGCTCGAATGATACACGAACGCCAGCTGTGCATGTCCACAATAACCAAATATGAGATAACCTAGGTCGGTTACGCCACACAAGGTTAACCCTTGGGGCCAGGAAAAAGTGCGTAAGCAGAAGAGAGGAGAGGATAGGAAAGAATAAAAGTGGGAGAAATGCGAAGATACAGGAGGAGAGGGAGACAGAAAAAAACGACTGCCGATTTTCCCTGGGTGGGTCGGCCCAAGGGTGCCTCTGCATGAAGCCGGAGCCAAAGGGGTG